TTCATGGATAATGCATAAATATAGGCTATCCAAAAGGTGATTCATCGCTAATTTGCTACAATTTATCACATTTATAAGCCATTTGAATTTCTGTCTTGCCTTTGTAAAACAGACTGTTTTTGTTGAACACAGTTTCAATATCCATTAGCAATAAAATAGACAACTAGTATTACTGAAAGCGCTCTCTCCTTGCTGCCTGTCGAGGCTCTTTGGAGCTGAAATAAGCACAGCCGCAGCAGCAGCTATTTTTCAAGTTTTCTCATTCTTTTTATGCATGTTTTTATTGACAAGAACACTGATGAATAAAAAAACTCAAGTGGTTTATAAATGCTGTATCTGTTGTTTCTGACCACAGAAAAGTGGAATAAGTGAGCCATGATATAGGTCAGTCAAGAAGTTGCAAGCGAGATTATCAATACAAGTGCTGCTAGGGAAAATTATAAAAAATCAACACATTAACAAATTTTATTTTTTCCCTTTAAGGTACAAAATACCAGCTGCTCAACTGACTCACATGCAAAACTTAGTATTTAGCTGGATGGCCATCTTTCGAATGTTGTCTGTAAACATTAGAACACTTTACAACCATAGGACACTTGTATACCTGGTTTAGTAGGCTATGGGAATATCACCAATGTCAAATGATGATCTTGACTGTCTCATTACTGAGATTCTAAGTCAAACTCCTGGCTCAGGGGAGACCTACATCGCTAGCAGTTTGAGAGGGAGAGGGATCAGAGTTCAGCGATGGCTAGTGTGAGAGCGTTTACGAATAGTAGATCCAGTGGGAAGAGCCTTCAGAGGTTGAAGGGCAATTCGACGAAGGGTCTATGATGTCTCTGTCCCAAATCAAGTGTGGTATGTGCTGTTTAATTGTTTCAGTCATTACTCACTAGTTGGTCAATGAACCAAGTCAAAAAGGTAGGGATAAGAGGATCAAAACTATGTGAAATAAATAATGAACCATTGTGGTATAGGTAATTCTTATTGTAAATTTTAGGAATTTTAAATAGCACTGACTTACTTCACATTCTTCACCATGTTTACCTTCCAAGAATAAACAGATCTGTGGATGAATTTGTAAGCCAGTGGAACCAACACAGCTTAAGGATAATGGAAAGCAGCTCCCCACTGCAACTGTGGACAGTTGGAATGCTTCAACTTCCTCAGCATCAAAGAGTACTCAGTCATGTGCATATGCAACGCCCTTATGATCACCACCAGTGTATTGCTGAGTTAAGGCCAATTAATCCTTTGATTGATGATGGAAATCATGGGATAGAACTTTTTCTCACAGCATGTAACCTGCTTCAATTAAGTGCTTAGTCTGCTAAGTAATTTTGTTGTGGTTCATCAAAAAGAACATGTTTTAGTAGCAAACAAATAAAGCAGTGGTATGTACAGTGGTACCGTGATACCCAGTGGTTTTGAGAAATACTCAATATTGTTATTTTGTAAAAGACTCAATTTGTAAATGACTAATTTAATATTCTTTAAACTGTGACTTCCAAAGGACAGCAATGGACAAGGTGAGTTCTACAGGCCCTAGGACAAAAGATGTATAAATGCTTAAAATTAACTTTTCTTTAATGACAAAAACTTTAGTTGTCATTACCGTACACACATGTACATTGCACATTATGTATCATTATACATAATGTATTAATTTAACCCTATTGATCAAGGTGAACCCTGTATTTTATAAATTTTCTTAAGTACATGAATTTCAATTTTGTGTACAGTTTTACATCTAAATGACATTTAAAGTCTGGGATACACATATCCTGCCACAATCATTACAAAAAGGACAAATAGACAAAGTAGGAACATAGAACCATTTATTTGTAGAAAAGCCATACCACAACCCATAGAGAGGCAACTATCTGCCTGACTCACAGTTCTGTTACTTTTAACTATAACCATGTGCTTATCAACTTAAATATTCACCAATTGCACATTATTAAATGCAAAACACTAAACATTGGCTTAAAATATATCTTTTAATGCAACCAAAAACTTATTTGTAATGTCTTAATTACAGTAAATGCTGAGGCTTATATGAGGCAATAATATATACATATACAAACCGGATTCCAAAAAAGTTGGGACACTAAACAAATTGTGAATAAAAACTGAATGCAATGATGTGGAGGTGCCAACATCTAATATTTTATTCAGAATAGAACACAAATCACAGATCAAAAGTTTAAACTGAGAGAATGTATCATTTTAAGGGAAAAATATGTTGTTTCAAAATTTCATGGCGTCAACAAATCCCAAAAAAGTTGGGACAAGGCCATTTTTACCACTGTGTGGCATCCCCCCTTCTTCTTACAACACTCAACAGATGTCTGGGGACAGAGGAGACCAGTTTCTCAAGTTTAGAAATAGGAATGCTCTCCCATTCATGTCTAATACAGGCCTCTAACTGTTCAATCGTCTTGGGCCTTCTTTGTCGCACCTTCCTCTTTATGATGCGCCAAATGTTCTCTATAGGTGAAAGATCTGGACTGCAGGCTGGCCATTTCAGTACCCGGATCCTTCTCCTACGTAGCCATGATGTTGTGATTGCTGCAGAATGTGGTCTGGCATTATCTTGTTGAAAAATGCAGGGTCTTCCCTGAAAGAGACGACGTCTAGATGGGAGCATATGTTGTTCTAGAACCTGAACATAGTTCTCTGCATTAATGGTGCCTTTCCAGACATGCAAGCTGCCCATGCCACAAGCACTCATGCAACCCCATACCATCAGTGATGCAGGCTTCTGAACGGAGCGTTGATAACAACTTGGGTTATCCTTGTCCTCTCTGGTCCGGATGACATGGCGTCCCAGTGTTCCATAAAGAACTTCAAATTGTAACTCATCTGACCACAGAACAGTCTTCCATTTTGCCACACTCCATTTTAAAAGACCCCTGGCCCAGTGCAAACGTCTGAGCTTGTGGAGCTTGCTTAGAAATGGCTTCCTCTTTGCACTGTAGAGTTTCAGCTGGCAACGGCGGATGGCACGGTGGATTGTGTTCACTGACAATGCTTTCTGGAAGTATTCCTGAGCCCATTCTGTTATTTCCTTGACAGTGGCATTCCTGTTTGAGGTGCAGTGATGTTTAAGGGCCCGGAGATCACGAGCATCCAGTAGAGTTTTACGGCCTTGACCCTTACGCACAGCGATTGTTCCAGATTCTTTGAATCTTTTGATGATGTTATACACGGTTGATGATGATAACTTAAAAGTCTTTGCTATTTTACGCCGGGTAACACCATTCTGGTATTGCTGCACTATCTTTCTGCGCAACAATGGTGGAATTGGTGATCCTCTTACCATCTTGGCTTCAGAGAGACACTGACACTCTGAGAAGCTCTTTTTATACCCAATCATGTTGTCAATTGACCTAATTAGTGTTAATTGGTCTTCCAGCTGTTCGTTATATGCTCAATTTCCTTTTTCCAGCCACTTATTGCTACTTGTCCCAACTTTTTTGGGATTTGTTGACGCCATGAAATTTTGAAACAACATATTTTTCCCTTAAAATGATACATTCTCTCAGTTTAGACTTTTGATCTGTAATTTGTGTTCTATTCTGAATAAAATATTAGATGTTGGCTCCTCCACATCATTGCATTCAGTTTTTATTCACAATTTGTTTAGTGTCCCAACTTTTTTGGAATCCGGTTTGTATATATATATATATATATATGTATATAAACAAACAACAACAAACAAAAAAAAAACATCCTGGTCATGACTTGACAAGACTACAAGCCCCCCATAATATTACCTCTCATTAGGGGTGTGGGAAAAACTTGATTCTTATATGCATTGCGATGTGGACGTGTACGATTCTGAATCGATTCATAAATGTCAAAAATCGATTTTCTAAATATTAAATTTATACCGTAATGTTGACGGACCTAAAATGTGGAACTTGGAAGTGGGAAAGTGCAGCGCCTGGACACTCTTCCCGGGCAGCACATAACAAAAACACACATAGATGAGCGAGAAATCTGACCGGCAGCCTCTGCATTAAAGCCAAGTTAGATCAGGAGTCACAACCCAAATGTTTAGAAGTTTAGATTCTGTCAACAAAAATCAAACCACCTTGGGAGCCACAACATGTAATGCCTAATATGTGTCAGAATGTGCTGATGTCCTTATATTGGCTCAGCTACAGCCGGTTTCCTCCCCTTTCCATCAGGAAACTTTCCCTCAGTCTTCGCTGTTTTACGAGGCTGAAGTCGCTTCTCATTCTCCAGCTTCTTGTTCGAAATTTCCCGTTCCACCTTAAATTCTGCCTAAGGCGCCGAATGTAGCTGCTGCACCATTTAAGGTGGCATGGGTAAATTCAAAAGAGAAGCGACTTCATCTTCACAACTTTTTAAGTGTTTGACAGGCTCTTGTTGCAGATTTAACGCTTATAAATTGGAATACGTTCATTCATCTCCAAATATTCATCTTAGCTAAATCTCTCTTTGCCTTTTCATAGCTGCTAGCGAGGTGAGACTTCGCTGCTAAGTGACCAGCAGTCTGCACATCATTCCTCAGTCGTTGAGAACCAGGGCTTTCGTGCTATATTGCACACTTTGGAGCCGAGATTCAGTGTCCAGTCTTCAAGAAATTTTACTGACACAGTGAACCCCCCCCACAATGAGACCAAAACCAAAGTTATAAAATCACTGAATTAAGAATTAAACGGGTAGGACGGCTGTAACACGCTGCGTGGTCATCCATTACAACTGGATCTTACTTCACCCTAACAGCGCATTTCATCACAGATGAGTGGCAGCAGCGTCTCAAACAAGAGCAGTGAATGAGAGCCTTCTAGATCACTTCCATTTGATTTATTAATAAAAGTTATTGGAAGTAAATGCATTATGGATCATTACAAATACTTTGCTTTAAAACTACCAATACCTCACACAGTGAGAAAATAGAAATCCTGTATAGAAAAAAAAGATGCATCGAGATGCATCGATAATCGTTTTATAATCACATCGCAGCCCTCTGAATCGTAATTGAATCGAATCGTGAGGTGCCCAAAGATTCCCACCCCTACCTCTCATGCTCTTCCAAATCCTGGTGAATTGCGTATGGCAAAATCCATGTCAGATTTGAAAGCAGTGTATTCTGCATGAACTAGTATGCAAAGAATATTTTCACATGTATTGGCCACTGGAAATCAGGAATGGGTGATGAACTTAAGGCTTGACTTTGGTAAGAAACCCAGGGCAGGAATACTGTCACATCCAGTGAAGAAAACAAGAACGTCCACCAGAGAGACATCGTTTTCAACTGTAAAACGAGAGTAATACACTTACATTAGTGTGTCTACTGGTATTTTGATAGGGTAAATGAGTATCATACCTTAGTGCAGTGATACAAAAGTGATGTTACAGAGGTTAGTAGTTAAATTTCCTTAACTGCATTAGACATCGCTTTTTGAACTGACACTAATACGACTCAATGTTATTTGAAAGCTAACAACAATCTGATGTATACAGTTAAACATTTAGTAGCAAAAAAGACAGGACTTGATGAAGACCATAACAAATCTAGGCTAATCTTGCTCCAAGCCTGCTAGATAAATAAGTATTCTATTATTAGTGCACAACAGGCATAACAATCAAGATACAGTGTTGGATTGCTTGTTCTTAGATGTTTTATATGAAACATATGATGCAGCCAAAAATAAAATTAGAGAATAATGTGTGATGTTGAAACATTGTACCAAATGCCAAACTTACATTCAGCATCCTGAAGATAGTCTTGCCAGAAAGCCAGGGTCCGACACTCCTGTTGAAATGCATTACTCCCTCTTTTGGAGTGACTGATCCGGAATGATTCTCTACATCTGTTGCTGTTAAAGCCTTTTCACTCTTCACTTCAACTGTAGAGGGTAGTTCTGGAGAGCATCTAGGACACCTAGAGACATTAAGCCATCTCTGAACCTAGCAAAAGGTAAACAAATTCTTATGTAAAGTTCATGTGATTTGGATCCTGGGGTGCAAACTAGAGATTTTCCATGTGAGGGAGAAGCAGGATCTGAAGAACCATGACATATTTTTTTTCCATACATAACATTGTATGGTAGTAATTCAAAAGTAAGCTTTTGTATTTGCTTTCCTCTTTTATCTCCTGCATTTCCACCATTTTCACCACCACAAAACAAGGCTGTATTTTTTGGCCAAGGTATTATAGTACTTGTGCAAACAAAAAGGTGCACGGGTCCGCTGGAGGATATACCAGTGAGCCAAATCCAAAGCAGTCTTTTGTTTGTTTCCCCAGTGTTATGTGAACACTGTGACCAGCAAGACTGATCAAACTGCCTCCTGCGCAACTGCATTTTGCAGCTCTGATTCAGTCTCAGCCTCTGAGATCTAAAAATACCAAAACAACGTTAGGGCATTTAAATAAGAAATATTTATTAACTTTTATTTTGAATGGAGATACACAAATGTTTAACTTACGTTAATGAGTGCATGCAAAATGAAAAATTCTATTTCGTATGTGCAGTGCCCTCTAGTGGGTTTGCTATTGGTTTTCTTTCAAGGCCCTGTCTGGTCACCTTGAAAAAGTCCCTTTGAGAAGACACCCTGAGAAGATCTCACTGCACAACCAGGAGGTATCAATCACATATCAGGCCCTCAGTATAAAATGCTGTCATGCTAATCACTCTTCTCTGTTTTACATGGGGATGTGACATACTGCAGCCTTGTCAACAAAGGTCATCACCTCCTCTTTCAGGTCCAGGGTGAACCGTGTTAGAGCCTTCACATCAGGGTTCCGAGATGGAGCAACAAAGCGGATAACTAACAGCAAAGCCTGTTATAGGGCTGCACACATACTCCTAGAACTGTAGTGACAACTAATAATTACTGTTTGCTGTCTGAGGAAAATATGCTTACCAACTGCACCTGTGACCTTGTTTCTTCATCAGCAATTTGTCCAATTATGACCTTTACATTGTCTGGCCCTTTTTGAAGACACGCATAGAAGAGTTCAGACAGGAAACATGTGCTCTGCCCCCATGGGCAATTGACATTGCCATGACTTGGCCAACATAGAAGTACCCGTTGTCTTTCATTGCTGTTATCAAATTAAATTAAACATCACATGTCAAGAGTATACACCAAAAATAATGCTTATGTTACAATGTCACCCATCTTTGTGAGAACTTACTATTATTTTTTAATCATGGTATTAATTGCTAAATTTCCCCTCTCAAACAAGTATTATCAAAACAAAAGCGGACAATTCTTACTTTTCCTGAAGAATAATTTCAAGTAATGTATAATAACCAATAATGAATTACTCTAATCATAAGTACGTTTAGAGTTGCATGTGAGGACTTTAGCATTGGGTGGACCCTCAAAGATGCCAATTTTGTCCTTGATTTCATGTAGACACAACCGGAAAAACTCCCGAGTGGGTCCTCCATTGTCCACGGCACCCTCAGACGTTCCCATAGTCATCGGTAAATTTAACATCTACCCTCTTCTCAGGTGCAAAATTGGATCTGCCCATGGCTCTGGATGCTCCATCCCACACATTTCTTTTTGTGATATTGAAGCATACAGTGCTGTCATTATTACTCTAGAAGCAATCTGTTCTATTATTCTCTCCGAGGTCATCTTTAAATCATTGAAACAATAATAAAAAAATAAACAAATGCATCATATTTAGGGCCAACAGTAATGGTTATAATTTGACCGCAGAACTATAATGTAACTTTCACAGGGTTGTAATTAATATTGACTAAAATCCATTTGGAAATAATAAATATTGTCCATTTTATCAGCTCCACTTACAATATAGGTGCACTTTATAGGTCTACAATTACAGACTGTAGTCCATCTGTTTCTCTGCATACTTTGTTAGCCCCCTTTTACCCTGTTCTTCAGTGGTCAGGACCCCCATGGACCCTCACAGAGCAGGTACTGTTCTCAGCACTGCAGTAACACTGAACGATGGTAGTGGCATGTTAGTGTCACTGCTGGACTAAGAGTAGTCCACCAACCAAAAACATCCAGCCGGCAGTGTCCTGTGGGCAGCATCCTGTGACCACTGATGAAGGACTAGAGTATGACCAACACAAATTGTGCAGCAGCAGATGAGCTGATAAAATGGACAATGAGCACAGAAACATGTTATGCCTGATCGGTGTACATACAACCCCATTTCCAAAAAAGTTGGGACGCTGTGAAAAAATTGTTGTGCAAATCAATTAGAACATATATGTCATTGAAAATATTTCAAAGACAACATATAAAATGTTGAAACTGGGAATTTCTATTGTTTTTTGAAACAATAAAAACAGACACGATTCTGTAGGGGAAATCACTGCATGGGCTCAGAAACATTTCTGAAAACCACTGCGAAGGCCTTGTTTATTTCAACAAGACAATGTCAAACCACATTCTGTATGTATTACAGCAGCATTGCCCCATATTTCAAGAGTCCGGGTACTAAAGTGACCTGCCTGCAGTCCAGACCTGTCACCACTGAAAACATTTGGAACATTATGAATGAAAATACAAAATGAAAATGAAAAATACAACAAAGGAGACCCTGAACTGTTGAGAAGCTGAAATCCTGTATCAAACAAGAACAGGAAAACATTTCACTTTTAAACCAATGCAGTGTCTCCTCAGTTCCCAAACACTACATAGTGTTGTTAAAGGAAGAGGTGATGAACCACAGTGGTAAACAGGCCCCATCCCAACTTTTTTGAAACATATTCTTGGCATCAAATTCAAAATAGGCATATATATATTTCAAAAAACAGCAAAATTTCTCAGTTTCAATATTTGATTTGTTGTCTCTGTACTAATTTTAATGAAATATAGGGTTTAAATGATTTGCATTGAATTTTGTTTTTATTTACATTTTGCACAGCATTCCAACTTTTTTGGAAATGGGGTTGTATATGTTTACATATACAACTGCAGCTGTTGTTAAAGTGCAGAAAATACATGATTGTAGCATTAATAGTAAAAATATTGCAGTGACATATCTCCATCTACTAATAATGCCTGTTATTTACAGTATGATCATAGCAGAATAAAGCAGTAATAAAGTGATGAGTGACTACAGAATCTAAACTACAGGTAAAGTGTCAGAAAAAGTATCTAGAGCAGATTATTATGATTATGCCTGGATGAATAGATATGAATGAATATTCTCTTCGGTTAAGGCTAAGACTACACTACAGTATATGGAAAGATTCTGGTTTTAAATACATCATTTGTTTGCACACAGAAATTTCCGCTGTGTCAGTTGTTTTCAGCTACTCAGTTCAACTAACTTCAGTTAATTGGATATAAGCTTAAAGGAAAAAGATATTTAAGAATATATTAACTTAAGACTGTATTTTGTAACATAATTTAGCTTGTCAAAATGCGCAGCAGCAAATAATTTACAAATAATTTAATTCACACCACAAAAATCTTTTCACTGAACCTTTCATAGTATTGCAGTATTGTGACACTTATTATTGCAAAAATAAAAATAAACATGTAACGTGACAAAACATTAAAGCTTACCTGCATCCCTCCACAACTGGCTGGAAGGCCGCCATTATTGCCTGCATTACTTTGTCCCAGTCACAGCCAAATTCCAAGGCATATTTTATACGTCCATTTTCGAAAAGCCAAGCTTTCGTGGCACGCCTTGGCACAAGCTTAGTTGTACGGTCCGGCAGGAGAATTACCTCTTTGGTGAAACACTAAACCACAGAACCTGAACTAATTAGTGCCTGAAACATTAAAGAAAACCTTTAAACACATGAAAGAAAATCAAACTATTTAAATATATTTATCACGTTCCATTGGTGGTGCTGCGGTGCTGTTTGGAGCAGGGCTGAAGGCGCCCTCACCATAGCTGTTGGGCAGAACTAGCGAGCCGACATTACAAAGGTTGAGAATATGACTTTCTGCAAAAAAGCATTACTCTTAACAACGCTTGCTTTTTAGAAATGTTAGTTACACGCAGCGTATGGGACTCAAATTGTTAAATGCCTACATTTTTCAACATATTTTATTGTTACAGTTAACACAATCTCTCTCATATTTCTGGGTTTTGCTGATTCATGATGAACTAAAATTTTATGCATTCAGTTCTGTTCTTACCTCCTCTGTCTTGGGCCCTTCTGAGTGAATGGGCGAAGATTGTAGGTAGGGGTTGTTGTGGGGAGCTCCTGTGAAGTGAAAGGTATGCTTCTTTCTGCATTAACGCTTGTCTGATAAACGGGAATTGCCTGACCTATGGGGGTCACTGCATTCGGTCTTCCACGGTGAAACAGTGAATAAACTTCATCAGTAGAACGGTACTGAATACGGTTACCAGTATTATTTTGAGCAGTGCATGCGTTTGCCAAGGTGTTAATTATCTCCTCATTATTTAGGATTGCAGCTACTAGATTTTGTGCTGATTCACTCATAGCGACACACTGCCTGCAACCGTACGGAACCTCAGACATTGAAAACACAAGATGACGCAGATTTCATTCCATATATTCAGAGTATTTTTATGTATAAAATAAAAATAAATAATTTCCTGAATGGCATGCCATATATATATATATATATATATATATATATATGTATGTATGTATGTATATGTATATCTATATATATAAGGGGTGCAACTAATTTAGTAGTCGATTAGTTGATGATGTCCTTATGCGTCTTTCTTACGCTCACTAGGAACGTTTTTAAATTAAGCGCTTCCTGGAGAGTTAACAACAGCGCATTGGCAGCCTCAAGAACAAAATCCCGAAAAGGGAGCAAAACTTAGAACAAAAGGTCAGTTGTGCTATTTGTAAAACCAAGCTCAGCTGGCACAGAGCACATCTTCCACACTGGAGTATCTGAAGAGGAAACTCGGTGGCTCATTGGGTGAAGAAGATTAATTTCAGTAAGATATGCCCCGTCCCAGACCGCATACTAGCTCACTAAATAGTGTGTAAAAAAGAGCATATACCATTAGAAGTGCACTCATTAGTGTAGTGTGTGAAGTACAGAAATGTGTGGTTCGAGACGCGGTGATAGTTGTGCTAGCGAGCTAGTTAGTTAGCTAATGTTAGTGTTAAAAGCCGTCCTACTTTGTTCTAAGCTGCGCTGTAACATTTTCCACTTAGAAATGCTGGTCTCTGTAATCGTTAATGGAGTTGGAACAGAGAAACAAGTAACTATTATTCACAGCGACCTTCTTCACTTTCCAGATGACGCTTAGTTTTAAAAACTTCATCGTCGTCTTAGCGTCGAGGCCACCAGTGCTTTCAGTTTCGGAAATCCAAACAGGCTTCTGTTCTCCGTAAATGTTTTGCTCCACTCACTAATGGTTTAAGGAGGTAGTGAAGAACTGTACACACATGGCAGCTGTACGTTTACACAAAATCGTTCAAATTTAACTGTTCATAGAGAAGTTCGCCACAAACATTCGCCACTTTCCCCTCCGCTCCGTCAGAGCGCGTTTCCTCTGCAACGGTGAATATCCGCTCTCAAAATAAACGCGAGACTCTCACAGGAGCACAGAGAGATACTGACTTTCCTCCGTTTCACTAAAGACCAGTGATTGTAGAATTTAGTTGCAGCAGAGTTTAGACAGAAAGCAGAGCACAGACTGTATTATTTAAATGTAACATTTAAATTTAGATTGACTTTTTTATTTACTTGATTAAAAACAACTGACTTAGTTTTGGTATTTTATTGCTGCTACTTTACACATCCTTGGTTATACATTTTGACAGGAAAAATAGTTTATTATTTATATATATATATATATATATATATATATATATATATGCGCACACACACACACACACACACACATATATATATATATATATATATATATATATATATATATATATATTATAAAACGTATGTATATGCACTATATTGACATCCCATTCTTAATTCATAGGGCTTAATATGAAATCGGCCCACGCTTTGCAGCTATAACAGTTTCAACTCTTCTGGGAAGGCTTTCCACAAGGTTTAGGAGTGTGTTTATTGGAATTTTGGACCATTCTTTCAGAAGCACATTTGTGAGGTCAGACAATGATGTTGGACAAGAAGGCCTGGCTCGCATTCTCCACTCTAATTCATCCCAAAGGTGTTATATCAGGTTGAGGTCAGGACTCTGTGCAGGCCGGTCAAGTTCTTCCACACCAAACTTGCTCATCAATGCCTTTATGGACCTTGCTTTGTGCACTGGTGCGCAGGCATGTTGGAACAGGAAGGGGCCATCCCCAAACTGTTCCCACAAAGTAGGGAGCATGAAATTGTCCAAAATCTCTTTGTCTGCTGAAGTATTAAGAGTTTCTTTCACTGGAACTAAGGGTTCTAGCCCAACTCCTGAAAAAACAACCTCACACCATAATCCCCCCTCCACCAAACACTACGCTTGGCGCAATGCAGTCAGACAAGTACTATTCTTCTGGAAACCGCCAAACCCAGACTCGTCCATCAGATTTCCAGACAGAGAAGCACGATTCGTCACTCCAGAGAACACGTCTCCACTGCTCTAGAGTCCAGTGGCGGTGAGCTTTACACCACTGCATCTGGCGCTTTGCATTGCACTTGGTGATGTAAGGCTTGGATGCAGCTGCTCGGCCATGGAAACCCATTCAATGAAGCTCTCTACGCTGTTCTTGAGCTCATCTGAAGACCACATGAAGTTGGGAGGTCTGTAGCGATTGACTCTGCAGAAAGTTGGCGACCTCGGAGCATTATACGCCTCAGCATCCGCTGACCACACTCTATCATTTTACGTGGCCGGGTACCTGTCATTCCTAATTGCTTCCACTTTATTATACCACTGACCGTTGACTGTGGAATATTTAGTAGCGAGAAAATTCCATGACTGGACTTGTTGCACAGGTGGCATCCTATCACGATACCACGTTAAAATTCACTGAGCTCTTGAGAGCGACCCATTCTTTCACAAATGTTTGTAGAAGCAGTCTGCATGCCTAGGTGCTTGGTTTTATACACCTGTGGCCGTGGAAGTGATTGGAACATCTAAATTCAATGACTTGGATGGGTGAGTGAATACTTTTGGTGATACAGCATATATGATGTTTGACAATCTTATTTTGATTTCATAAAAATAATACTGGAAAATTTCATTTCTATCCCAGATCAGAAGCTCAAAATATTTTTTTCTTCAATCAAAACACTTCGATTTACTGATTACACATGTATGTGTCTTAAAATTTGAATGACAGAAGCTATTTCCACACTCAGAGCAGTGATACCTTTTTTCTCTTCTGTGAATGTACTGGTGTGATTGGAGATTACTCAGTGTAGTAAAACTCTTTCCACACTCCGAGCAGTGATACGGTTTCTCTCCTGTGTGAATGCGCTGATGTGTCTTAAGGTTACTACTTACTGTAAAACTCTGTCCACACTCAAAGCAGTGATACGGTTTCACTCCTGTGTGAATGCGCTGGTGTGACTGGAGATTATTCTTTTGACTAAAGCTCTTCCCACACTGAGAGCAGTGATAAGGTTTCTCCCCTGAGTGAATGCGCTGGTGTGTCTTAAGGGAACTACTTACTCTAAAACTCTGTCCACACTCAAAGCAGTGATACGGTTTCTCTCCTGTGTGAATGCGCTGGTGTATTTTGACATGACTCCATAGAGTAAAACTCTTTCCACACTCTGAGCAGCAATACGGTTTCTCTCCTGTGTGAATGCACTGGTGTCTTTGAAGATGACTCGGTACAGTAAAACTCTTTCCACAGTCTGAGCAGTGATACGGTTTCTCTCCTGTGTGAATGCGCTGGTGTGTTCGCAGATTACTCTGTATAGTAAAACTCTTTCCACAGTCTGAGCAGTGATATGGTTTCTCTCCTGTGTGAATACGCTGGTGTGTTTGAAGACTACACTGTACAGTAAACCTCTGTCCACACTCTGAGCAGTGATAAGGTTTCTCTCCTGTGTGAACGCGCTGGTGTGCTTGGAGATGACTCTGTACAGTAAAACTCTTTCCACAGTCTGAGCAGTGATATGGTTTCTCTCCTGTGTGAATACGCTGGTGTGTTTGGAGATTACTCCGTGAAGTAAAACTCTGTACACACTCTGAGCAGTGGTGAGTTCTTTTTTTGTCAGTGATCTTTTTTGGTGGTCTGTGAGTTGTCTTCAAGTGGAGAGCAGCAGATGTTTTCTGAATACCGGATCTTCTGGATACCATATTCTCACATTCAGTATTTCCTTATTTCAGCAGTTTCATGATGTGTTTGTGGACATTAATTTGAAATTTGCAGGAAAGTCGTCACTAGGAGCAGGAGATCTTTCTGGAAGAGAACAAGGGAAAAAAAAAAAATAAAATAACCGGTTGATCAGAGATTAAAGTGAAACTTTAACTGAAAAAAATAGATAACTTTTTTTGTTCCAGGGATCCGGTTTTAATAGATCTTTTAAACAAGGATCCAAAAAAGAGGCAGAGGCAATGGTAGTAACTAGGCTTCAAGCCAAACAAAAAATGCCATCTAGCGAGACGGTCGAAACTTAATGAATTGCCATGTTTGGAAGCAATTAAACTCAGAAAACTAACAGAGAAAAAGGGCAAAGGTTTTCCCCAAATGCCTAAGACAAGAGGTTCTGAAATTAGGTCACTCCGAACCATGGGCAGGTCACCTAGGCCAGCCAAAAACATTGAATAGGATAACCAACTGATTTTACTGGCAACGTCAACATCTGGATGTCATCAAATTCTGTAATTCATGCCCACAGTATCAGCTATCAGACCCTGAAAAAAAGACAGAGATCCCTAAATTATCATGTCAATTATTATGTGCCATTTTTCAAGGATTGCTATAGATTGTTGGCACCTTACCAAAAACCCAGAGAGGGAACAGACACACCCTAGTGGTCTATGACTTCATTATGCGACATGTTACTCGGAGGTGTTTTCTCTAAGGAAGGTCAAAACACATCCGATTGTAAATGCTTTAATACAGCTTATTTACTGTCCAGGGTATGAACTCTACATCTAGACAACTTAGAGGTTTTTACATTGCAGGTTAAAAGGGGCATAAAGACCATGCCATACCATGCTCAAACTGACGGAACGGTAGAACGCTTTAACAAGATGCTAAAAGGCATGCTGCACAAATGTGATAGAAATGGGAGCAGACTGGGACAGACTGGCTTCCGTATCTGCTGTTTACATACAGGGAGGACCCACAAGCCTCAACAGGATTTTCCCCATTTGAACTCTTGTATGCAAGGCGAAACATTTTGTCTTATGTTCTCAAAATGAGAGATGAGTCAGTTGACCTCTTAAGTCTTGGAGAACACCGAGAAGACTCAGAGCAAGGAAAAGCTGTGGTACAACAAAGGGACAAGAAACTGTGAGTTATTCTAGGGAGAAAAGGCTCTTGTTCTACTGGTAACATCAGATACCAGATAACTTGCCAAGTAGCATGGGCCACTGCCTATTACTGCATAAAACAATAGAAATAGACGATTAAAACAGAAGTTAAGACAGCTCTAGAGTTTTCTTAAAATTAAGAAAATATTTAGGATGTTTGGTAACTTTGGTGTTGTAATACAGTTTTCTTATCTGGAAATAAGATAGGATTATAAACTTAAGAACTTTTGTCCTGTAATGGCTTCTGTCCTAAATTCAGTCTTAAATGAAGTTGCCATGACAACAAAGCAGATCACAGACTAAAGAATTTTCTGTAATATGGCCCCTGGTCCCTAAAGAATGGAGCATTAAAATTTTGTGTTGACTTTTCAAAACTAAATGTAGTATCCATATCCGCTTTTGATCCATAACCTACAGCAGACAAACTGATTAAAAAGCTTGGGAAAGTGAAATTCCTAACAACCATAGACATGTGTAAGGGTTACTGTTCCCACCGAACCGGTCAGCGAAAGAACTGACACCTTTTTGAGTAGCGAGTGGTTTATACCATTTTTCAGTAATGCTTTTTGGTTTGTGTGGAGCAAATGCTACATTTAAAAGACTCATGGACGAGGTCCTAATAGGAACTGATGGGTTTGCGGCAAGATACATTGATGTAGTCATTTATATTATAGCACATCATGGGTGGAGCACCTGCAACACTGAAAGTGTTTTCAGAAAATCACTGAGGTAGGATTAACAGCAAATCCAGCAAAATGCAGTTGGGCAAAGTGTTAAGCCTCCTACTAGGGCTACATCATGGGCAGTGGAGGATTGCACCCTCCTTTTCATTGTGGGTGCAATCCTCCACTTCCCCTTTTTAGTTTTGATCAGTTGGTATCACAGATTCATACCCGATTTTGCCAGCAGGGCAGTGGTACTGACAGATCTCAGCAAAAGACTGATGAATGTGTGGCTGCATTTCAGGACCTAAAGACTTGTCTACGTTCCAAACTAGGTCTATGTAGCCCGGATTTCGATAGGCCATTTGGGGTAGAGGGATGCGTTGGGAAAGGGACCGAGTGCTGTACTGGGTACTGGGTGCAAGGTGAAGAGGAGGACTTGAAACGTATCTTATCCATCAGCAGAAACTTGTTTCCAAGAGATAACAAGGTATTCTACCATAGAGAAAGTGACCCTAGCAGTGAAATAGGCCCTGGACTCTTTAGAATACTGTCTAATAATTACTGAATTCACACTGGAAATGGAGCACTGCATGTGGATGTGGAGAAAGACTCTAATGCCAGAATTCCCTGCTGGTATTTGTCACTGCGGCCCTTCAAATCCAAGTGAAGAAAAGAATGTCAAAATGTGACAACTGACTTCCTATTTCGACATTCAGAGGAGTGACAAGCTGGAGAAGGGGGGTGTGTGATGATGTCAGTGGCCAGGACACATCACCAAGACTGTTTAAGACATTACACCTCTTTAGAGAGGAACATTGTAAGAGACAAATGTGTACACTTACCTTGATTTCAGTGAAATGGTGGCCCAGGGGTCTGTTTTCTTACAGGAGTTGGGTGATGTCACAACTAACCTGTAGAGGGGGAAGCAAAGCCAAAGTAAAACCTGTAAAGAGAAAAAGAGTTAATTATAACTATAGCTGAATGTAAATGTACAACCCCATTTCCAAAAAAGCTGGGATGCTGTGCAAAATGTAAATAAAAACAAAATACAATGATGTGCAAATCATTTAAATCCTATATTTCAATGAAAATAGTACAAAGACAACAAATCAAATGTCAAACAAAAATGTTTATTGTTTATTGAAAAATACATGCCGATTTTGAATTTGATGCCAACAACATGTTCCAAAGAAGTTGGGATGGTGGGCATGTTTACCATTGTGTCTCATCACCTCTTCTTTTAACATCACTCTGTAAGTGTTTGTGTCCATGATTTCCAAAAAGAATTTCAAATGTTGATTCGTCGGACCACAGGAAACTTCAGTCCATTTTAAAAGAGCTCAGGCCCAGAGAAGGCAGCATTTCTGAGTCCTGTTTATATGTGGTTTCTTCTTTGCGTTTAAGAGTTAATTAGCATTTGGGGATGGAGCGCCAAACTGTTTTCACAGACAGTGTTTTTCATAAGCTTTTCTGAGCACATCCAATGATTTCCTCTACAGAATCATGTCTGTTCTTAATGCAGTGCCCTCTGAAGGCCCAAAGACCGTAGATGATGAAAAGCAGAAGTTCTTTGCTATTTTATGTTGAGAAACTTTATTCTTGAATTGTTGCAGTATTTGATCGTGCAGTCTTTCACAGAGTGGTGAACCCCTCCTCATCTTTACTTCTGAAAGACTCAGCCTCTCTGAGATGCTCATTTTATGCCAAACCATATTATTGACCTGTTGCCAATTAACCACCAGGTTTTTTTTAAGCATTACACAACTTTACCAACCTTTTTTTGCCCCATCCTAACTTTTTTGGAACATGTTGTTGGTATCAAACTCAAAATGGACATATAATTTTCAAAAAATAATACAGTTCTAGGTTTCAACATTTGATACGTTGTCTTTGAAGCATTTTCAATGATATATAGGGTTTAAATGATTTGCACATCACTGTATTTTGTTTTTATTTACATTTTGCACAATGTCCCAACTTTTTTAGAAATGGGGTTGTACTTACTGGTGCAAAATGAGAACTGGCCTTATAAATATTGCTGATGTAGCATATGGATGTGTTATGGGTTGATGACAAGCCAGTGTTGTATTATTACTCCTATTCTCTGCATTGGTATGTTCCAGCCTTAATTAGGGAGGGACTTAGACTATAAAGCCTGACTTAGGGTTTACTTGAATTGCTGCCGAATATTAGCTGAGGAGCTAATGGAGTCACATTAAAACTAGTTTTGCTTTTAAACCTTGAACACTGCTGTAAATATGTAAATATTAATTTTCTGTACGATTGACAATAAATGATTTAGAGCACTTGAACCTATCGAGACGTGTGCGACGGTACTTAAAGGGGAACCCAAGGTTTCTTTCCTGCTCATAGCCTCACACTACTGGGGACACCGTGTCCCACTACATGTGGTGCACCGCAATCCAAAAGTATAAATGTTATGAAAGAGCTGAGGAAGAGGATGGCCTCATGACCATGTATTAAAGCAGCCTGATCTTGAAAGATAAAAGGTGGTTCTCTACAGTGCTGGGAATGCTAGGATCTGAAGAACACAGTAACGTATTAATATGTTCTTACTAAGGGAATAGATACCTAAATAATGAATAGTATTTGCTGTGCAGTCTGTTTGCAGTAGGTCTCTTTCTGTGGATAATGTTTGAAAGAAAAACAGCAAATAGGTGTTATTTAACTCTTAAAAAGTCTATATCCACTGTTAGGACCATGCTTAAGCACTGGGTTCCCCCAAGAGAGGTGAGGGTAATCGACGGAAGTCCAGGCAATTGTATTCTGCTTGCTAGTAAATAAACGTGCCGCAATGACGTAGACACTACCTTTTGCTCTCGTTGTGCTGTCCAATATGCGCAGGAGAGATAAAAGGTTTAGACGCAATGAATTAACAAATGTACTCTCACCTGCACATTTTAACACATTCTATTTTTAAGTCACTATATAAATATTGTGAACATCACAGTTCTTGCTTCAAATTAAGTTGTGAGAAATGTGAGCGTTTGTTGTCTGTGTTCATGACGATAACTAGCATTGCGCATTTCTTGCCCACTGTTGAACAACTTTTGTTTACAATCGCTGGAATCCGGGTTTTGTTAAACAAAAGAACAAGTACTAGCAGTAAAATAAACTTGACCGTAAGTACAAAGTGCTTCATTACTGAGTAACTTATAGAAAATCTATAGGATAGAAGAGTGAGTTATAAACAGTGTAAACAGAGTGAAAGTGATAAACAGCTCTTTACCTTCAGCAGATCAGCTCCTGTTTCTCTCTATTTCTGTAAGAGTGAGTTATAAACAGTGTAAACAGAATGAAAAAGTGATAAACAGCTCTTTACCTTCAGCAGATCAGCTCCTGTTTCTCTCCATTTCTGTAAGAGTGAGTTATAAACAGTGTAAACAGAGTGAAAAAGAGACAAACAGCTCTTTACCTTCAGCAGATCAGCTCCTGTTTCTCTTTATTTCTGTAAGAGTGAGTTATAAACAGTGTAAACAGAGTGAAAAAGAGATAAACAGCTCTTTACCGTCAGCAAATCAGCCCCTGTTTCTCTCTATTTCTGTAAGAGTGAGTTATCAGATCAGCTCCTGTTTCCCTCTAATACCGCAGAGCTCTTCTTCTCTCCTTATCGTCTTTGAAGAACCACCGTTATACTAGCGCCCCCCCATTGACGTCACCACTGTGGATCTGGATGCGTTATTTTTCTAATCCCACCCGTATTCCGACAAACCCCGCCTCCTGCGCTACGACTGGCTAGAAGTTCATAAGAGCAGCAGACCGTTTATTTACTGCAGCAGTTATGAATTTACACAAATATCACGTAAACTAATGGAATAAGAATAACGGAACACATTCAATAAATAGATTATCGTATAAACAACTGCAGGAAATTTGGTCAGAATTAAAGGAAAATGAATGCAGCAGATTATCAGACATTGTTGGAGGACAGTTTGTATGCATGATACATGAATGTGGTGCATTTGGACTTTAACACACTGCCAAGTTGAACCTTCAACAGCTGCAGCGGATTACAGTGAAGGTTCTGCAGTCACCCTCACAGTCTCAGACCTCAACATCATTGAAATACTTTAGGAGAACTCAAACGTACAGTACATGTACAGAACCCAAAGGGGTTTGGAAATATTGTAATGTGTGTTATAACAAAAAAAAAACAAAACAAAACAAAACAAAACAAAAAAAAACACAAAATCTATCTAATCATTTATTATTCAACATTAATTATTTTGTTTAATATATGATTTTAAGGTACTTTAAAGCACTATTGCGAATTCGATACCTGGTGATGCTACAGCCATCCGTAGCCGGGAGTCCAAGAGAGCACAATTGGCCTCGCTCTCTCTGGGTGGGTAGGATGGCCCCTCACCCCCCCCACGAGCGCGTTCAGCTGTCCAATGTCGTTGCGTGAGTGGCAGTTCGAAAAGAAGTGGTGGCTGGTTTCACAGGTATCGGAGGAAGCCTGTGTTAGCCTTCACCCTCCTAGCGTTGCTAGTATCGTGTGATTGGGGGAGTCCTAACTAGCGGGTGGAATTGGCAACGGCTAAATTGGGGAGATAATTGGGTTAAAATCCAGAACATATATTAATAATATATTAAAAATTCTCTGGACCTCAGTAACAATGACTGCAGGATTCAGGAGTGGAGCTGCTCTTTGGTGGAGCATGCACAGAGACCTTCTGATCTGACCTACAGGTGAAAAGCATAATATAAAAAGGATGGGCTCATGGACAGAACCTTGGGGCACTTAATGAGCAATCAAATTATTAATCAGTGAACCCTTACTAATAACAGAGCATGTTCTGAAGGCCTATATTAGCAAGACTGATGATGAAAATTCTGGAGGAGGCAGAGTTGACTGCATCCAGTTTGCAGAATGAGTGAAGACCACAGTTAATTCCACGGTATTTGTATTGATTCTAGAAGTTTGTGTATCTAGATAATGGGGATATAGGCCTCTGACAAAAAAAAGCAGTACGGGAGTGTGACAGCCAGTGAACCTATTTTAATTGACACACAAAGCCAAATATTCAACATAACTTGGAAAACACAACTCCAAATGAGCATGCATATTTAAGCTTTTCAGTTCATTTGCTGAAAACATGATTCATGATAAAACAAATGAAGACCACTCAAAAATCGTACAATTCAAATAATAAAAAAAGAATATAGCCCGTAAGTGGCAAGCAGCAATCTGCGGGGTCCAAGTACCAGGAAGACATAGAGGAGTAAAGAAGCGGCCTCAGGGTGTAGAATGCAGCAGATCTTTAGATTTTTAAGAAAGATCACCTTTTCCTATGATTAAGACCATTAGGTGATACATCTGCTATAATCTACACAACTCATTTTAACGTCCATGACAGGGATTCAAACCTACAACCCTGGAGTTCAAAGGCAGAAACTCTCATCGTGAGCCATAAGACATCTGTGTCATGACTGCAGTTTTTGAAACAATTTATTGAAAGAAAGCAACAAGGATGCCCACACAATTTTAGGACAAAGTAGCAGCATAAACAAATTTCATAGAAGGCAGCAAATCGTTGGGTTTTTAAGAAAGACCCTTCCTTAAGATAAAGATAATTAAGTGTGTGTTTATAACAACTACTACAGCACCATGAAACATCTGTGACAGGGAATCAAACTCACGACCTTAAACTTCAAAAGCAGATGTTTTCATGGTCAGCTACAAGAGGCCCTCAGCAGACCTGTTTTTGGTGTCAATTTATTAGTACAGAGCAACAAGGAACCAAGCACCATTGTGGGAATTAGTTCCTGCCTTGCAATTACTGTAACTAATACTGAATACTATAATTCCAACTGAAATCATAATACACTGTCAGTTTGTAATTTTTATATTTGTGTCAATTTGTTTATAATCAGACAATTTTTGACGTATTTTTAGCCTTTTACAGCAGAATAAGCCAGTTCACATCAATATATTCAAATCTTCAGCCACACTGTGCTTAAAGGTCATGATATTTTCAATAATTTAGATAGTTTTAAGAAAAAAGAAATTTGATTTAAACTTAAGAATTAGTAAGAAAATGTCTATTCTCCATCTGTTTTCAACTATGCAATTATTGAAAGTTTTAAAGACTTGTATTTGCAAAATTGTTAGGCTCAGTGGAAAGCAAAAAAAAAAAATTGGTCTTGACCGAAAGACATACAGTAAAGCTTTCCACTAATTGTATATTTTTTATTACGTACTTCAACATTGACACTTGCAGTTACTGATTTGGCTCCATCTGGTGACACCTCTTGCTCTAATTAAAATTTGTTGAAATCAAATTATAACTGTACAGGAAATCATATGCAACCTATACATATTTGCAAAGTGTTAATCCTCATTAAAATGCATAATATGAAACAATAGTCATGTCTTTATTTTAATCTTCAACAGGAATAATTACATTTTAGATTGTTGGCAGTACACTGAGCATTGTAAGAGCCAACTCAAGCTAAATGTCATACGTTTCCTCAGCTGATTATTGTCAATGTATATATCAATTCTGGTCATAATCAGAGCATAAGTGACAGATTTGTGGTCCTTTGTCCAAATAGGCTGGACTGAACTGAGTGATCCATAACTTGCAATAAAATTGTGCTTAAAGGGCAAGGTTTTTTAAATAATTATCGATCTTGAGGCTTCCATGGTTGTTTTGAGACCAAGTTTGAGATGCTGTAAAAACATTTCAGCAAGCAATATGAAAACATCAGTTTTAAACTCTGATGATTTACAGAAAACAGTAGTTGTTTTTTAAAGACTTGTATATGCAAAATTGCTTGGCTCATTGGAAAACATAAAATACAGAAACAAGATAGATGTTGCAAAGACTCTAACCATAAATATGTTTGAAGTCATAATTTCCATTTAATGCTGATGCTCCCTCTACTGGGCAGAAAAGATATTACCTTAAATGAGTACGTGGCCAACCTAGGTTTAAGTCAAATGTCCATATTTACTGTACAATTTTGGAACATACATATGATTGCAATGTTTTGGGTGTTAATGAGATGTGTAATTTGAAACAATTATCTTTTCTTTATTTCAATCATAGAAAAAATAATATTTTAATTACGCACTAGATTAACTACTGTAGGAGCTTATGACTATTTAAATGAAACTTTGCATGTTTTCTCAGAAAATAGTAATGTATATGTTTACCAAGATTTATCACAATCACTTAAAAACTAAAGAATCTAAGTCAGAAAAGGCCAGGCCAAACAGATTCTTTGGTGTCTCATGGCCGTTCTTTGCAATAAAGTCAACTTTTTTTTGACAATTATTTACCTACGGACTCCACAGATTGTTTTAACACCAAAATTGAAACAACTGTCTTAAAATCCACAGACTAGGTCGAAAAGCTAAATTTTCAAACATTAATCAATCACTTTACAGAATTCTAAAAGACTTGTATTTGATAAAATGTCATTCTCAGTGTAAGCAATGATATGAATTGATTTATTTTGATCTACAATAAAATGTATAATACTACCACCTCAAGGCAAATTGAGGTCAAACATTATAGGCTATTAGAGACTGCCTATGATATGTGGACACATGATATAATTTTTGTGAAGACTGGCCAATGCTAAGCCCTCCAAATGCCTGTTGAAATCTTATTGGCCAATGGCGGCCATATTTGTCCAATGATTCAGGTGTTCTGAATAGACCATGTAAATACTAGCATGGATACAGCATGCAAAGTTTCAGCTCAACTGGCCAAGCGGTTGCTGAGAAAGAGATTTTTGGTTATAGCGCCCCCTACTGAGTAATCCGTATCAAACTTGGTGGGCTTCCACAAAATCATGTGGGGTACAGGACTGATGAGCTTGATGAGAATTGGCCAAAAGAATATTTATCTGTAGCCATTTATGTGAATTAAGCCAAACTCAGAGGGGCTTAACTGGCACGTGGCAGCCATACTGTTAATAAATATATATTTTTTTTAATAATTCTTGACCTCCAGACTCCAGACCTCCAGATGTTTTTTTTTTTCTGAGTTGCTTGAAAAAGTCAGAGGCCGCTTGGAAGGAGTTTTGGATGTATGTTGGGAATGACTTCTTACAAAGATTTAAAAAAGGTGGACCACGTCAGTTCTCAGCTGTTCTTTCTCTCCTTTTTTATTAAATAATATTATATGAAGAACTCATTTCTGCCCCAGGTATTAAACCCAAAATCATATGTGTATTTTGTTCTTTGAAAGACATCAAATCATGTGTGCATCTTAAAAGTAAATAACTGAAGTTTTTTCCACAAAATACTTTCAGGTGTGAATGCGCTGGTGTCTTCGGAGATGACTCTGACTCATAAAACTGTTCACACTCAAAGCAGTGATACGGTTTCACTCCTGTGTGAATGCGCAAGTGTAGTTGCAGACTACTCTGTCTAGTAAAACTCTTTCCACACTCTGAGCAGTGATACGCTTTTTCTCCTGTGTGAATGCGCTGGTGTGCTTGGAGATGACTCTGTTGACTAAAACTCTGTCCACACTCTGAGCAATGATACGGTTTTTCTCCTGTGTGAATACGCTGGTGTTTTTGAAGATGACTCTGTATAGTAAAACACTTTCCACAGTCAAAGCAGTGATACGGTTTCTCTCCTGTGTGAATGCGCTGGTGTCTTTGGAGACTACTCTGT